GTAGGTGACCCTGCTTCGGCAGGAGGGTTGGACTAGATGACTCACAGAGGTCCCTTCCAACCCCTACCATTCTGTGATTCTTTGATTCTGTGGAGGAGGGGAATAGAGCAGCACTGGGTCCTTTCTAAGGATAAAAAGGAGTTATTTCCAACTTCTGGCTTCACCACTATGACGCAAGAATGGTACCAGAAGGTCTCAAGAGGTAGAAGTGTAATGTCTGCTGACATCTGTCAGTCTAAGGCTTGGGTTCTCTTGGAGGTTCTTGGAGCTCCAGACCTGTTTAGAGAGAACTGAGATGTGTTAGGGTATGTGGACAGCAATGGGCGTCTTCACAGTGATTCTGTCGCACTCGAGCCGTGACGAAGTATATGACAGCTTCGTCACACGAGCTATGAGCTGTTCCATAGTATCTGTAAAATTGTTTGTTATAACTGAGTGAATGGAGTTAGCCAAGTAATTTTAAATGTATGAAAACTAGAGCAAAGTAATAATGTTATCTTAATTTTGTTACACTTACTGAAGTAGTAGTAGTTAAATGTGTGGAAAATAAAGAATCATAACAAACTGAAAAGACTTTATGATGTAACTGCTCTATTGCAAAATATATGCTTCCATTCTAATGTACAGGTAAGCATAATTCTTATTTAACCTTAAATAACTAACTTTTTGCTGCAAGGGTATTAGGATCAAACCCAACAAAGCCAAGGTGATTTCTTGCTTGTGACTGTTTTGACCCTTCAGGATTTCTCAGCTTCTCTAACTGTTGTTATCGGTATTTTTATTCTGGACCAAGTATATAAAATTCCACCATTGTACTTTGATAATTCCTTCCGAGTGCGGATTTTGGTATTCTGTCTTTTTGCTATCTTTTTGGTTTTTTGTTTATGTAATTTGTTTAATAGTTTCCTTCAGAACCACTACAGTGAAGTGTTTGTAATAGCTGCCTTTTAAAAATAATGTTCTTTGTGCATAACAAAAAAAACCCAAGGAAAAAACACTTTGGAAAAAAAGAAAATCTTACAAGGTAAGACAAGGGTCTCAAGGTAAGACCTTGGGTCCTCACAGAGGTGTCATTTGTAGACTTAAGAGGTCAGGAGTATCTAAAAGGAAAGTGCTGTTTGTGGTAAATACAAAGAGTACATGCATACACTCAGACCATTCTGTTTTGTTTCCTTTTAGTAATTTTTGATTGCCACAAAAATTTAAATTACTATGTGTAGATAATTTTGTTTTGAAGCAAGACCTCCCTTTTCACTGGGAAGAACTTTGGTATAGTTATTTGCTGTTCTTTTCATGAGTACTGAATTGTTTTACTTTTTGAAACGTGTATCCAAATCTAGGATGTGCTGATGGAATTGTTGGAGCAGTGTGCTGATGGACTCTGGAAGGCAGAACGCTATGAACTCATTGCTGACATATATAAACTTATAATTCCTATTTATGAAAAACGGAGAGATTTTGAGGTACTAAATTCATCATAAGTAAATTTGAGCAAGAAAAAAAATCCTCATTTTTCTAGTCTAACTGGGTGACACATTGGACATTGCAGAACAAGGGTATTAATATCATAACTGAAACATGAATATGTTGAATTTTTTTTCAATTTTAAATAATTTAAAATGTTTTTCTTTACCTATAAATAAAAATTAACCTTACATATTGTCATTCTAGTGAAGTGTGAAACCCATTACTACTGTTGAATAAAACAATGTTTTTAGTAGTTATTAACTACAAGGACATCATTTAATGTTGTTTTTTTAAGGTAGGAAAGTTCTACGTTATTCTTTTACTCCATGGTTGTTTTCTTTTATTTTTAGAGGCTTGCTCATTTATATGACACCCTTCATCGAGCATACAGTAAAGTAACAGAAGTTATGCATACAGGCAAGAGACTGCTGGGAACTTATTTCAGAGTAGCATTCTTTGGACAGGTGAGAATTATTTAACTTCTGTTTGTCTTCTCTATGCAGTAAGAAAACTCTGAATTTATTTTACAAGGTATACTAGTTTGCCATCTATATTGATACTATGACATAAAAAGTACGAGAAATGTGTTCTGTAAGAAATAATTAAACACCGTCAATAATTTAGCTTAAAACATTTATCAGTTCGATACTATTCTTCCTTATTTTCCTCAGTAAATTTTTTGCCTTTTTTTCTTTTTCTTCTTTTATTTACTACCTTAAGGCAGCGGTAAGTTTTCTATAATGTCAGTTCTTAGCAATGTATTGATTTAATGTCTGTAGTGCTACAGTGTGGTTTGCAAGGCTGCTTCTTATATTGGTATGCATTAATTAGCCATTGCAATTCAAAAAATAACATGAAGTTCCATTTAGAGAACAAATCACCTCTTTTCTATGCATCGGTATTGCATGCTTCGAAGAAAAGTTCTGTCGCTGCATTGGACAGCTTCACGTCCTCTAATATATGTCTAGAATCCATGTTTCTGTATGGTATCAAGTAATACACTTTCTACATGCATAGCCCAGTTGCTAATTGTTCAGCTGAGCATGGAGCATTGTAAAATACTCTGAGCAGTATAACTTTACATGTATTTTGTTGTCTTTTATAACTTTATAGCAATACCAGTTTACAGACAGTGAAACAGATGTTGAGGTAATTACAGTAACCGCTTACAAAGCAAGCAATGCAGTAAAAACTGCTGCATTTCACCTTAGTTTGATGTGGGTATTTTTGTCAATCTAGCCTGTGTTTAAACATGAGATGTTGTGCTTTTCTATTTTGTCTGTTTTGCTTATGACAAAAATATTTATTTTCTGGTTTCAAACATGAAGTCGAACATGGCTTGTTTTAAACCAATGACCTGTTTCACTTTCCATGTACTCTATTTTGCATTTAGTTATGGTTTTAAAATAAATGCTTTATGTAATAAAAATAAGTGTATGCCAATGTAGTACAACACAAAAGTAAGATTTCTACATAAATTAAATTTCATTTTCTCGAATTTTTTTTATTACTACTTATTTTTATGTAAACCATTGCCAAAATACTGATGTGAATCAGACAGTCCTGTTGGGCAACAAGATTTCTGTTTTGGCAAGTGAAACAGTGCTAAAGTTCACTTTTAAACAAAAGTGAAGAAAAGTTATCTCGAAGGCTTGGCACACCATAAAATTGCAACAAACCTTTAAAATTTGAACTATGTGTTTCCATTATCTTTCACTCATTCTGTAGCAGATGATTACATTTTCGTGGTTTTTTAAATTCTCTTAAGAAACCTTCTTTACTTAGATTTTAATTTCTCTTTATTTGTGTTTGCTTGAATCCTGATGTTGAATGTTTATATTTGCTTTGAACCACACACATTATGTTCATCTTCATCATTGCCCTATGTGTTTTTTTCCCAAGATTTTGATTACTTTGTTTTTTTACAGGGATTCTTTGAGGATGAAGATGGAAAGGAATATATCTACAAAGAGCCTAAACTCACACCTCTCTCAGAAATTTCCCAAAGACTCCAAAAACTCTACTCTGACAAATTTGGATCTGAAAATGTCAAAATGATTCAGGATTCTGGCAAAGTATGATCTTTAGTCTCTCTAAAAAATTCTAATATATTGCTTCTAGTAGTCCACGGGAAATTCTGTGGGATCACTGTCTGTTTCTCATTTGGTACACGAAAGTGTCTAAAAACTACTGGTTGAAGGGCATAAGAGAAGTATCATCTTCTATTAGGTTTACCTTTAAGAACGATCAAAAAATATAATTTCCATAGTGTTACCTCTCAAAACAATAATTGTATCTTAGAACAAATTTGGATTATGATCATAACCTGTATTATCTTTAGCTGTATTTCTTGCGAGTTCATGCACAGTCATTCTTTGGAAGTTTTTCCCTTTTCTGCACCCCAAGAGCAGAGTCCAAACTTTCTTCTGACTTAAGAAATAAACCCCTCTTCTGAGAAAAGTACCATATATAAACAACATTTTATTTCTGTATCAGTTGTTTGTGTTATCTGTTGCCTATGTCTCTGAGCTTGTTCGATTTTATAAATGCTTAAACTGTAGGAAAAATTGCTCGCACAAAGTCATCTGGTTAAATCTAGATTTGTCATAGGAAATGCTTTCCTTGGTAATTGAAGGCTCCGAAACTGGTGAACTAAAGAGGGCTACAGTGTCCTGTATGCTGAGATGAACACATACTGCGCAAGATGCCTCTCTGCATTCCTTTCCTTCTCTTCTTCAGCCAATTTTTAACTTTTGTTTGGCTTCAAACTTCATGGTGATTTTCTCTTACTATAATTTCCTGTCTCTTCTGTTCCTTGATTCCACCAGTAAGATCACAAAGTTCTGTGCCTCTCGGCCTGAAAGTGCAGAAATGGTGGGCTTTCAATATTGGAACTTTAAAACGAGAGGAGGACTTACGCAAGGGCTGCTTTCATGCCATGTAAGGCAAGAGATTTATATTGTAATAGCAGTTTTTCAGAGCTCTTCCAGTGTACTCTGCTGAATTCTTTACAGTTACTTATAGTGCATGTGTTTGTCAACATTTGTAGGGAACATTTTCTATTAGCTCTATGAGAACATAGGTACATAAAAAAGATAGATACATAAATTACTATTTAAGTTCATGTCCAGCAATCTTAAAAAAAATACCAGCTTAAAAAAAAATAATAATCAAGCATCATGTTCCAATAAAAATGGATGACAGCAGGGAGACCTTAGCTCTGTTCCCAGTTTGCTCCAGGACTTACCTGGTGACTTCGTGTGTGTATTTGCGTTGCTGTTTTTCCCACTTAGTTTATAGAAGCGAAAAGGCTCAGAGACAGGCAGAGATAACGTGAATATTTGATGTGAGACTAAAATGGTAGACTACAACTTTTAGAAAGGTGCACAGATTTAGGGTGCCCTCTTTACCCCGTGGTTGAGGGAATTTACAAAAAAAAAAAATCCTTTTTCTGCTTAGGGACCCTGCTGGGCAAAGACTTAGGAGGCCTTATCTTTTTGTACTGGAGACTAGCTGCTGACTTTTACTGAATTAAATATCTGCCAGTCCATGAAGCTCTTGCTCATTCAGTTCTAGAAATAAAATGAACTTCATAGTGAAGCCTTCTATTTGCCCTGCTCCCACCAGTGTATTCTTTGGGACCTTCACAGGGTGTCAGAGTTGAGGCAGACAGGCTGGGAGGAGTGTCTTCTGAAGATAGTATCTCTGAACTATGTACAATGTAGGGTTTTATTTTTAATTATTATCTTTTTATATCACTAGCAATTTTTGGTCTCCTATCTACTGTTGTATCAGCTGTCATGAAGGACAAATATTTGTTTCTGGGTTTCCTGCATCTCTGCCTTCCAGTGTTAATCATGGGTATAACTCTGTATTATGTTTTGGTTTGCAGTTTTGCATACAGCAGTTATTGATAATGAGTGTTCAAAAAAAACCGAAAACCTAACAGTATTTTGTAACGCATCTAGGTGTGTTGTCTTCATGATACTTAGAAGCTGAATGCAGAGAAGCCCTGTGAAAGCATTAAAGTTTCCTGTGTTTTCAATAATGTAAAGATTGAGTGACCAAAGTTGTATGACTACAGTTAAATCCACTTTATTCACAGTGTAGCTATTTAATTTTTTTTTCTCATGTTTTTAAGGTCAATCCTAAGGATTTAGATTCAAAATATGCATATATTCAAGTTACACATGTAATTCCATACTTTGAAGAAAAAGAGTTACAAGAAAGAAAGACAGATTTTGAAAGGACTCATAACATTCGTCGCTTTATGTTTGAGATGCCTTTTACTCAAGCTGGTAAAAGACAAGGAGGAGTAGAAGAACAGTGTAAGCGACGGACTATTTTGACAGGTACTGATTGAATGGAAATTTCTTTTAAAAGAAAGCTGCTCTTTTTGGGGTTTTTTTAATGCTTAATTCTTGATACTAAGTTTTTCTGTATGTTATGTATTTTGTCAGAAAAAATTCTGTAGAAGATTTCACACATAACTGTTGGAGGTGACAAGAATTGCAAAGTATACCAAAATACTATTAGATAAAACAACCTTTTAAAACTAGTGCATTCTTGAAAATAATACTTAAAAATGCACTTATATAGAAATGACCATCTGAGAATATGTGCATCATTGTGTAATTTCTTAACCTCTAAGCATTGGAAAAAGACAGTAAAATCTCTGATATGACTATGCCCTAACTACCCTTCACTTTGAAATCTTTATTTTTTGACAATGGAGTGTCTGCATGTCTCCCTTTTGCCCTTCCCTGTGCTCACCTCTCTTTGCTATGAAACATTGAAGAATGGTGGTATTATGCTTGCTGATTTGGGTATGGGATTTTTCAACATTCTTTCAATCTTTGGATGTGTAAAATGCAGCATTGGTTCTTTCAGCTAAAAGCACTAAAAGACCCTGAAGGGCAGGTTCTGCTTGGTTTTCCGGCCTCTGTTCCATTGTGACTTTGGTCTAACCACTGCGCTTTAGTTTCTTGTTTTTTAGCTGTGGAAGGAGGAGAGTGTGCCCATCTATCTTCCCATAGGCTCAAACTTTAAAGATATTTAGTTTGTACAGTAGTACAAAACATTTTGTTATATTTTTAAGGGAGATAATTAAAAGTTATGATGTGTTTGGCAATGTTTCTGTATAATATGTAAATCTGAATTTGTGAAATAACAAGTTGCATCTTTACTGGAAGCATTATTTCAAATGGTCTAATTCTGTGCTGTATGGGTTTTTCCATTTCACTTAGAAGTCCTTTATAGCTATCAGCTAAAATGCTTTTCATATTTTTAGCCAAAACTAGGTTTTTCAGGTTGTTTATTTCAAGGGATAAACCCCAAATAATTTTTTTACTTTTTCCTTAAACTTCAAGGATTGTGAATCTGGAGTCTAGCTTTCCTTGTTCTTAGTTAAAGTTTTGTCTCTGTTAAGTGCGAGCTTCTGTATCATTGTCTTAATATAGTGGTAAAAACAAGTTAAATAAATGAGTTCATAATGTGAGCTGTCCATAGCTAATACTTGTGAGGAAATAGAAAACACAGCTTTGCTTTTTTTGATTTTGCTCCTCTTTGAGATATGTCGATGATAAGCGATTCTTTTTATAGATGTCATATGAATTACGTTCCAATGGTTTATTTCTTGGTTATTATTGATAGCATTAATGACAATGATATTTCTTTGGTGCAGTACATTTAAAGCTATGCATATTTACATTTTCAATATTTTGTTTCCTTGTACATTTGGTAGTATTTCTAATTATATTAAATTGGGCAAATTCATCAAAATAAGATTTTAGCATAAAATTCTATCAAAACACACCTTATTAAACCCTTTTTCTAACTATATTAAACTTGTTTCCATCCATAGCTATACATTGTTTCCCATATGTGAAAAAGCGCATTCCAGTAATGTACCAGCACCATACCGATTTAAACCCAATTGAAGTAGCCATTGATGAAATGAGTAAAAAAGTTGCAGAACTTAGGCAGCTTTGCTCTTCAGCTGATGTAGATATGATCAAATTGCAGCTGAAGCTACAAGGAAGTGTCAGTGTTCAGGTAAGACCATATACTTTGCCATTCAGCTATTTCACTTGCTTCTGTCCCTGAAAAATTATATAATCTATATATATAATCTGTATATTCAAGAGTGCCCTAAATTAGAAATGTGCTCACTGTTTGCAGCTATTTCCAGAACAGGGAAAGCAATAAAATTATTTCATATAAACACTGATTACGGACAGTTACATGGAAGGGTTAAGATTCATTTCTGGAATCTATGGTGGTCTGAGCCCCACCAGGTTTTGGTGTAAAGCTGACTTCCATATGAGGAGGAATGAGTGTATTTTGCCTAGATGTAGGTCTGCTCACAGTAGGTTCAATATGATCATGATTGCTTTTGTATTTTGGTAAGATCCCTATGGAGATGAAGAGGGAGTGCCAAAATATATAGGAGGAAGGTAATAGTAGAAAATCTCACTGTGCAACGTTTCGTTTTGCCTAAGGCAGGCAAGAACTAAATGTATAAAGAAGCCATCAGGTTCACCAAAATAGGGTAAAGCAGCTGTAGCATGTACAAATCAATATGGTAAGGGTCTTAAGAATGCAATGACAAAAGTGTTGATCTATTATTTTTAACTGATTCAAATAAAAGGAACAGTAAACACAGTCAACTGAAATGAACTGTTGTGATGTTGAAGAGAAAAGAAGAAAAAAAAACCCCAACAAGCCAAGATTACATAATCAGGAAGTTTTCAAGCTAGCATTTGGGATAAGAAGTGAGCAGCTCTCACTGTTAATATGAAAGAATAATAGGCATGAGTCAGACTAAACAGTAGTAGATGTAGCTCATTTTCTGCGTTTTCCCACCCTAATTTCATAAACAGAGATGACAAATTGGCAATATCAGCAGTTACTTTGGCTCGTCATTGAAGTGGTTTCTTTGTGCCAGGGCAGGTTCATACAGAGCGCTGTAGAGACCTCTCCTGATGTTCCAGCTCCAGCAGTTTTCTTAGTTCGGAAGTCCAGCTGTTTTGAAATCAGTGTGTTCTTCTTAGAAAAACAAATCAGACACATATAGTACCTGTTACTGCTAAGACAATGTGTCAGAGAACCGACTTTATTTTGTAATTCTTGTTCTTTTTAGGTTAATGCTGGTCCATTAGCATACGCAAGAGCTTTCTTAGATGACACAAACACCAAAAGATATCCAGACAATAAAGTAAAGCTACTAAAGGAAGTTTTTAGGTATGTTTTTTGGAAGGGGAAAAAAAGAAAAGATTTTTTCAAGACTGATATTGTACAAATTTTTTTTTCTAACTTTTATAGTGTTCAAACTGCATTGAAAACATACTTTAAGCTGGTATTTTGAATTAATACTTTGGATTTTGTATTCCTGATTTGACATCTTTTTTTTTATTCTTGTACCTAAATCAGACAATTTGTTGAAGCTTGTGGGCATGCTCTGGGTGTTAACGAACGACTTATAAAGGAAGATCAGTTGGAATATCAAGAAGAAATGAAGGCCAACTACAGAGAAATGGCAAAAGAGCTTTCTGAAATAATGCATGAACAAGTACGTGCTGAAATAAATTTTACATACCAGCATTCAGAATGTAGCTGTAATGTGTACCCACTAGGAAAAGTGTATGTAATGCTTTGCACAGAAGGATTGTCTGTCTTTTTTTCTGTGGGAGTATAAGCATGTCATGGAATTGTGGAACTTCATAACTTTTTTTCTGTTTGTGAATTTTCTGCAGATGCTTTCTTGACCTTCAGAGTTAAGTCTTCCTCATTAAGAAAGTAAACCTGGTTGGCATCAGCCTGTTTTTTTGTAGGAGAGGAAGACTACAGTAAAGATAAACAAATTTAATGACATGAATAGTTATGGCATTTATACTTCCTACGTGTAGTTACAGGGGTTTCTCTTCAGTGACCCAAAAAGCTCATTTTAGCCTGTACTTCCTGGTAACTGTAGGGGGATTTGATCTGCAAGCTGCGCAGATTCAATTTAGATGTTGTATTTTGGAGGTACAAGCATTTACTTTTGCAACAAAGAGTTAAACATCTTTCAAGAGGTATTCCAACACGTTTTCTGGAGGCAAATCCACTACAGACAAGCTGGAGATAACGGGAAAAGGAAAATCAGAACTCTCGTGGAGTGCGATGTAGGACCTGGCATCAGGGATCTGTAGTAGAAATGTCTCCTGACTTCAGAGGCAAGGATATTATTTCCAGGAGGACAGGAAGGGATGAAGATTCATGCTTGATCCCTGCCTTCTTGACGTTTCTATTCATCATATTCATCACTTCAGGTTCCTTTTCTTTCATCCAGTGTTATTTGTATAATCTTTTGCCAGAGCCATAGAGTGGCTCGTAGGTCTTAACCCTGAAGACTTGTGTTTTTGACCCACAAGAAATACCTGTGTTTTCTGATAATATTTTACCTTAGAAACACACGTGTCTAGGAGACTTCCTTAGATGCATGACCATAATAGCAACTTTTCTTAGTCTAGGAACCAGTGCATTTGAGTCTGGATAACCAGTTGATAAAAAGCAAACTCTGAGTTTCTCTTGGCCATACAAAAACTATAGGCTTTACTCAGAAATCAAATTGTACAGGAAAAATCAAACTTGAAACCTACCTGAGGCATTCAGTTGCAGACATTTAAACACTCTCCTAATCTTCCAGCTTTTTTTCAGCATTGCATCCTTTAGTCATACAGTGACTTTACCCATCTACTATTTTTTGACATCTCTAAATTACTCTGTTATTATCCAAGAAATACTTGCTCAAAAAGCTAGTCACCTTGCTGGTATAACACTTATCCATAGGCTTATCAAAGAAAGATTTGTCTTTATTCTACCCTTGCTTAGATGATATCCAGAACTTTTATGGCAATTTTTTTCTGTTCAGAAATGTGTCAAGTGTCTAAAGTTCACTTCACGCACTTTCTTGCTCTCCATTCTTTCCTGATGTGGTTTTCTCAGATCCTGTACTACGAGTAGCTCCATGCTATGATATAATTATGGTCAAGCACAAGAATACACCAAGAGCATAGGCTTTATTTTCATTCTCTTATTCTTTTGTTATAATACCACAGGGAAAAGCTTACACGAAACTAACTTCTTTTTTAACCACTACTGATAGAGAATATTGTGTTTCAGAAGTGCATACAGAGGAAAACAGTTTTGAAAAATCCCTGGAACCAGAAAACAGATTGCTTAGCTGACAAAAAGTGGGACAGTTTGACCATATTTCAGTGTGACTTACTGAAAAGCAGAAAGCAGTGAAGGGTTTTAGAAAGGAGGATAACTGACTGAACAGCTGTTTAAGATGACCAAGGTATATGGGAGAATTAGACAGCTGTACAGAAGACCCCTTTGGAAAAGAGAGGAAAATGTTTTGGTCAAATAATTTAATGATAATAAATGAACAACCCCATGCACTAGTACAGGCTTGGGGTGGACCTGCTGCAGAGCAGCTCTGCGGAGAGGGACCTGGGTGTCCTGGTGGATGACAAGTTGACCATGAGCCAGCAGTGTGCCCTGGTTGCCAAGAAGGCCAATGGGATCCTGGGGTGCATCAAG